GGAAGAAGAAACTGTAAAGTGATAAGCCACTAACGTGCGGATCAAAAACCTTATTTTCTGGGAGCCTTTTTGTGAGAGAGTGAGAATGAGCAAGTTTGTGGAGAAAAGCTAATCGTTATAGCCTTCCTGCAGCCTGATGGTACTTTAGAGATTTTTATACACGTTTAGAAGGAAAGGGAATGGAACAGACAAAAAAGAAATCTCTCTTTTTTCAGACTTTGTTGTTGTTGTCGTCGTCGTCTTCGTTGTTGTTGTTTTGCTCTTTTCGGATAGAGGGGGCATGGCACTCATCCCCCCCGGATCTACTCATGATCAGTGAGTAGATGTTTTTCACAAAGATTGCCCGGAGGTATATGTGGTCGCACAGTGACTGTGGTGACTGCAGTCACTTCACTGCCCGCGATAAAACGTTGTTAATTCGACATATTTACAGCGTTGCATTGCTGAAGAAGAAACACAAACCTGAAGGTAAATTTGCCAACCACTAGTACGATGCAAAGCCGTAGACAAAAAAATGCATTTGTTGAGGGCCATAATTCGTCTGCCGATTGTCCAGGCACAGTGCATTATCCACGCACTCAGGAGCATCCTGTGGCCCGTGGATATTTGCCAGAAAAATTTCACGAGCTGCGCTTCGAGTGTTTCAATGAATAGCGTTTTTAACGATTTTTCTCAAAGCAGTGAGCTTACAAAATTAATCATGTCCTTGCAATGATGCACAAAGTAAATCACAAACCCTCAAACCGGCCAATTTTGACAAATCGCAGTGCGTGCAAATCCTTTACACAGCTTCTTTTTACAACTACTTTGAAAGGACCGACAATGACGAATGGGATTTTCCTTTTAAACTTTCTGTAAACAAATCAACCTCCCGTTATCAGCAGCTGTGAAGCATCAATCGCTCCTCAGTGCAGTGCCCCTGTAGGAAGACCACATCACAGAGTCAGACTCCATCCTCCGCCGAGCCCAGGACAAATCCCACTTCGGTCCGGAGGGGGAAGCCAAGTGCACCATGTGTGTAAAAGTGGAGTTTGTGCGGTTGACAATATCAGCCTCAAAGTGTCGTATATGTGAAGTTTGTTTTGAAAGAGTTGGGCAAGTTTGTTTTAATTTAACGGGTATACGTCAACTCATGGTCACTAGTTGGTTGATTCTGGCAGTATTGGAGAGAATTTGTCAAAGGCTGCCGCTAGATGGTATTTTGACCATTCTTAGGCAAAAGATCGATCCAACTTCCAGTGCGCCGCAGCCCATTTTTTCAAAGCAGATAGGGACTCCTGGGCATGCAATGTTCCAAGATCACCTCAGGGGAAATAAAAATAACTTTGTACAATCCCCTAGCGAATGTCATCATTCTGACTCATTTGCCTATTGATTTCATGGTGACAGCATTTATTTTGTACGTGTCAACAGCGTGACGGCGCGATTAGAATACATCTGTAATTGCAACAGGCCCGAGTTCTTCCGTCTTGATGCAAGACATACCTACGGTATTCCGACCGCACACTACGCCACTGTGTTATACTAGAGGACTAGTGGCTGGTTACCATTTTCTCAGGTCTGGAATGGGTCTGGAGATAACGCGTGCCACCTTAAGTCTTAGCTGGGCGCTGATGAGCAACAGACCAGTATATCCATAGTCAGACTCTTAGTCATACTCCAGTTTCCCCGCACCCAAGACGACACAGATCATTTCGTATCATTCACCGAAACAGCGCTGCTCTTCCTAGTCATCTCACTTTCAAAGAATGCGAGGGAAGATACGCTGGGCTGAAAAAGCGACTTGTTCATCTCGTTTACGGAGCTGACAAAAAGACCCTTCAGAGAAACTAAGAACAGACCGCCTCCTGGTAAGCGAAATTGCTCACGGGGTGAGCTGGACGCCAGTAACGGAGCTCAAGCAGAGGGTATGAGACAAGGGGGGCCCCAAGGGACATCAGAGGCGGCAGGCTTCGGGAGCCAGTCACTGCTGACCCAGATTCTCCGCCGGCCTTCCATCAGATCCGGCCGCGTGGTGATGTCAGTCAACGGCTCGGGTTCACTGAGCGACCAGAAGAGACGGGTTTATTGCGTTGCCATGCGGAGCATGCCCGAGATGTCGAGGAGTTAAAGGCGTTGAGGACGGTACAACATTGTACAGTCTCGTTATCAACAGTAAAAAACATAGTCATATTATACCACGGCTTCCTAAACTTGCGCATGTTGAATACCTTAAGCTTGATTTGGATAGGAAACACTCGCTGAAGTTGCACCATACAAGAGCGTGTAAAAAACACCACTTCAGCATCCAAAAACAAGCCGCAAGAGGTCATGATAAAAAAAAATTAGAATCGAGGCGCACATGCCCCAAATCGATTTATCTATGAGTCAACCCAGCCGAACCTAATAGAATTCCCCAATGACACCCAAATATATATGAATTGATATTGCAAAATATAAAATAGGCCTACTGTGTTTAAACCTTTGACGACACATCTTAATTTTGAAGGGCATGGGATATGAATTGTACCCAGAACATTACTCTGAGAATTTTTTCTAGTTTTATAAGATGTAGGCCTTTGGACATCCCTTTTTGGCTTTTCTAATTGGAAAGTACCTTTTTAACTGCTAAAATTCCTATACCATTTTCATGACAAATGAGGGCGTTGCTGCTGTGATGTCACTTCTTCAGAAAGACATCATTCCTTGGAAGAAAGGGGTCGGTTTAATGTGTGAACCAACATTTTGCTCACAGAAAATATTTCTCTGAGTAAGCCTGACTAACTGACCTTGTGGTGAAAGAATATTGAATCTACTAAAAAGGTATTTTATTTCAACAAACATCCAGAATTAAAGAAAAGTTTAGTGTTGAAATAAACTGAGGTTTCTGTCTGAAATGAGAAGACGCTTTGTTATCAAATTGCGTAAGTACAAAGAGTCACATGCGCTTTTAAATGTTTAACAACGCTCCCGAATTTTCCAACATCATTTCTGTCCCCAACACCGTATTTGCCACCTCTTTTGCCCGCATAATTGCAATAATTCGTGATCGGGCAATTTTGAATAGGTCATCGTTATCCATCAACTATAATTCCACTGACATTATGAATGAAAGATTGATTGAGAGGGGAGGAAGGGTAGTAAACTCTAGGCATCCGTCCTGTGCGTCCATAGATTCCCGTCACAATCGGAATAAGAAATGTGGTTGCTTTGTCAGATATGTACTGTGACGGGAGAAGATGGGGCAAAAAGCTAGTTAACATATATGAATCAATGGCTTGACTAAAGCCGTAACCAAAACAACTCCCATCAATATTGAACGGTGTCTGGTTTTTCTAATTTGTTGTAGAAATTTATTCAATATGGCATCGACGTCGGCGTGCAGGGCTTATAAAAACTATGGGGGTTTCATCAACTGAAGCTCGATGATTGTTAATTCATTTGACGACGACGACGGACTTTGACCAACTGTTAGCTGACAGGTAGGGCTTGCTCACCAATATAGGCCGGTGCCCATGATGTCATAACAATTTATCTTTGGTTATCTTGTCGTGCATGTCTAGACACACGACACGGATGATAAGCTCATCAAGAACACCCCTTCCAGTGGCGTTTACCCGTTGTCTTCCCATCCGGTCTTGTTTTCGTACCAACTCGGTCACTGAAAATATCCACATATGATCGGTTTGCTCTCAGTTACTATACCAGCAACTTCAGCGGGGTCATAGGACATTCACCACTGTGTCATTTCTACATCATTTCGATGGCACGGGTTATAATCCCATCAGGAATTCTTACTGGATGTATAGGCAATATATAAATAAGAGAATTTCCGGGCTTGAATTGTCAAGTCACACCTGAGTGATAGGTTGTATAAAGGAACATTCATCATTCTGAAGCGTTGATAAGAATGCTGAATGCTGTTTCATTTGTGAGAGGTAAGCTGATGGGGGAGTTAACTGCAAATTTCTGCGGTTTTGAATTAACACAAATAATATCACTGTGGGAAACTGGGACCATCCTTCAAGAAAGTAATGCCTTTTTTTGCAAAATCATAACAAATGGACGATTTTTTAGTAGTTTCACCTGTCTTACTCTGAAGCCATTTTTTTACCCCGGCCAATGGACTTAACCAATTGTGATTTAGTCGGCTACACAGATGGCGGAACAGTGCTTTGCTGCAATATCTCTTTACTGTAGCTTTTAGTAAGTAAAATCTTTTAGTATTTCCAACCATGACAGTTCTGAAAGTGAGTCATTCACCAGCAAAGTTGGAAGCAACAGTTTGTCATTTCCATCAAACATTAATGTTTGATGCGGGTCAATAATAAAAATGCGTACGACAGATAGGTGACATTGCAAGTGACTTCATCGTCTCACAATGTGTTTATTCATACTTATGGTAGTGATGAAAAGAAATAATTTGACTCCATTAGAAACGCGTCTGCAGGCAATCTGCATTTCGCAGGCCTACAATAGAAAGCTTTCCTTAAAATTTAATTGTGAAATTGGGCTAAATTTGAACAGACGCGAAGTTTACCTGTGTATGTCAAAAACACGTATCCAAATTACGCCGAGTGATTCACGTTAGTCCACTAATGGACAAAAGTTTAATTTCAAAATGAACCTCGCTCCTTTTCCCAACACTCTAACCCAATGAATCATACCCACCCCCAGCAAATCACAATGAAAAATTGGCAACGCCTTTGCAACGTTAGATATTGTTTATAGTCAGCCAGGTCTATTTATATCCTGCTGTAAGAACCGCACCTATAACTTCAACCACGCCTTCGATGATTTAGATAAATAATAAAAGCACCAAATTTAGCTTAAGTCTGACCAGTAACTTGCGAAATGCTGACCAATTGATGACTCCATAATGCAATTCTTTTTTTAATATGACATCCTGGATATAAACAGCTTCACGTAGACGCGGTATTCAGCGAACAGATAACATATATCGCTACGATGTATCATCAGTTCATGGAAATCATTTTCCCGCCCAAAATATTGCAGAGTCACCCTATAATGCGGCGCTCGCCGCATATGATTCACAATATGATCCACAACGTCATGCATGTGTTTGGAAACGCACCGGTCCTCAGCGTATAACAGATCGAGTCTGGACGAGGCCAATTTGTACACAGCGTTCATACTAATGCGCCGGTGGCCAACGTAGCGTTAAACGGCTTCACAACACTCAACGGACCAGCGGATGGTGCGTTCGCATACGCTGAAGGCAGAGTCATCTCATTGCCGTGACATCACCCGTTCCCATGGTCACGGATGATGGCACAAAAAGTATGATTACCATCTCACCATAGTAGTTTTAATAGTTCAATGAATAAATTATTATCAATGGCCTTATAGCGCCAGCGAGGCGACAAGCGCATGGTATTATGCGTTAAAGCGGAGTGACTGAAAAACGAGCGATACTGAGATGATTGGAATCCCCCCGGCTAGATGGGATTTATATGAACATGCGCAGTTGATGGCGATGACGTGTCCGTGAAGACAACTGGTGAATAATAGATAGCTAGTGGGCTCTAGTTGATTCAATCCTGTCGTCGCGTCGAACAAGGTAGCATCATTTTCTCGTATGTGTCACTATACAGTGACAGCCCCACGACTACGGTCATCAAGCAGGCCTCGTCGGGCCTTGGGTTTAAGGTGGTCAAAACCATTTCAAAAAGTTGCAGCGTCTCGACCGAGCACTCAGCTGAACTTCTTTTCAGACTGACTGCACTTCTGTTTATTAACTTACCAGCATTAGCTCTACACAGGCATCATTGTCCGAACACGGATTCGAGCAAAAGCAAAGGATACCGGTGTGCAGCATTGTTTAGGTTGCACATGTGAATTCATTACCTGAAGGCATCGACGCATCCTGCCGTAGAGAAGTTCTAACGGCCGGGCTGTCCCGCTTTGTTTCGTGTAGTAAAACTTGAGGAATCACATTGCTGTCCCCTGCTAAACTCCTAACACTTTGACGTTTGTTGCTGCAACCAACGAATCCTTTGCGTAATAAATAAAAGCAATTAAGTGCCACTAAGAGCTGACAGAGAGCCAGAGTTGAGAGAGGAATAATCATCGGTCACCTTGTAATTATTTGGAAGCTGTCCTCGCTCTCCGGGGCTAGGAAAAGAGTGCAACGACGGCCGCCCGACTCCTCGACAAACAGGCCCGACGAGCCTCCGCGGCCTCAGACCCCGCTCTCGCCAGCCACATGATCGACAGGAAGCTGAAGCGGGGCGGGGACAACGGCCCGCAACGGCCACGGGCCAACACCCCTGACCCCCACCCGTCCTCCAAGGACCCGCCGGCCTCCCCCATGACCAAGACGCTGCACTGGAGCATCGCCGACGTGACCATTAAGCAGCAGCAGGAGCACACGTACCGGGGGCGGAGCTCCAGCCTCCCCTACTTGACTCTGAAGGACCTGCCCAAGCTGCCACAGCCCCCTGTGCTCAGGGTGGTGATCCTCGGCACCGCCGGCGTGGGAAAGTCGTCCCTCCTCATGCAGTTTGCTTCTTCCTTCTACACAGATGTCAGCGACTATGAATCAATGCTCTCTGGTAAGAAACGTCAGCTTTTACGGGTTTGACCTCTTCACTGTTCCAATTTAACACCTCACTAACAAAGTAATAATACGAGTTAATTGCCCATCATACCCTACGGCTTGACCGTGGGTTTGTTGTTACATTTTTATGTTAAAGAGCTGCAGTGGTGTTTCTTCACAGGCAGAGACATAACATAGGGTTGTATTGTTGAAGGCTTGAAGGGTAGTGTTCTCAGGAGTCTCATTTTCTGGAGAGTCAGGAGGTTTGGCTGCAGTTTCAGACGATGCAAAACTCTTTTTTCCCTTCCAACTTCTAAGGAGGGAGAGGGACTCAAGGACAAAGGCCTCTTGATGGGGTTGAGTACCCCCCCCCTTCTCCGGGGTAATGGTACTGAAGAAAGTCTGACAGTTGACCCCAGATGCGCTTTTCAGGAACCCTTGGATAGAAAAACTAACGTGCAACAATATAGAATTTGCCTCTTTTTTCGTTCGTTTACTTTTTTAAAAAATCCTGTTGAAAATTGGCCATTTTTAAAAATATTTGCCAGATTAATATAAATGAACTGAAAAATTACGTGTGACCTGAAAGAGAAATATCTTGCTAAATACTAACCTCACACTTCCGTAAACCGAAAATACATGAAGACCCAAACTACTTTTATGCGGATCTAAAATAAAAACAGACTTTTGAAGAACTTTACAATTTATGAGGAAGTAAACTTAAAGGAATAATCTACGTTTCACGAAAGATTTTGAAGTTTAATTTAACCTTGCTGACCTGCGTCAGGTCAGTCACTGAATCTAGAGCCCATCCACTATAGGAAGGTAAATCTTTGCAGCGTGGTACAATCTCTTCAGCACATGAACAGGAAATAAACGTGCACGAACAAGGGGGCCTAGGACCAATGTTGCCGGAAGTAAGAGGTCGTAATGAAATCCGTTTTTACTGATTTCCAGATGACTTTTCAAAATATTACTCTAGGAACGTAGAGGTAAACTTCCGACATGAATGTTTCTTGGGGTGGTTTCATTTAGAAATAGTTCTTCCCCAAATTATCGAACGTGACAGGACGGCCCCATATAAAATCCTCATAGACGGACTGCTCGGGTCCCGAAGCTCGGTACGTGACCTTCCACCTTCAGGCTCTACTGTATTGATGAATGTCCAGATGAACTGTGCTTTGCTCAATTTCGGCCCGTCTCTTCCGAAGAAAGTTGAGCTAGCTATTACAGCGCTCTGACTAACTTTGAGAGACTAGTGTAACCTCATTAAAATCGTTGCAGGAGAACAGCACCGAGTGTATAATTAAGTGGCATCGCGTTAAGCCAGCGAGTACCCTGACTTCACCCGTCAGAAGAATTTATTTCATGTGTCGTGGTGCTTTCATCGTCGATATGACCTAGTAAGCAAAGTTTTTACCAAATGCTACCATCGATTAATGCTACCATTAGTCTGCTTCGATTTATTATCGTCTACAAAGATGCGTACTGAAATTTAAATGGAGAAATATTTTCTGATAATGTTGGATTTACCTGTAGAAAAGTAATGGCAGCACCCTGCTCTGCAATATATTTTTTCTGGCTACGTAACCACTTTTATGATCTGGCTTGCCAAAATTATGTGGGACTGGACAGAGTTTTTAAAGTAAGAAAACCGAAACGTATGACCGCAAACGCTTTTTTGTTATAGTTTGAAATAATGTCTGATGCCGCTGAACTCAATTACGATTTGTTTCCCTGGATCATGAACGAAGGCCAGATGCTCCTTATTTTGATGGGTCTAATACAGCGTGATCATTCGACATCCCCGAGTCCTCATTCTGAATGCTTAGTTACATCGGAGGCCCTTCGTATCCGTACACTACTCAGAAACGTTAAAGGCGCTTAACCAGTACAAAAACTACTTACCACGAAACCCAATATTGACGATGCCTAATAGCATCGGACAGCAACGTGGGATAATCAATATGATTCTCTCTATTGCATGGCTCCATAAAAAGCTCCAGAAAAACAACGCACATCATTTCAATAATAAACGGAAATGACTTCCGTCAGTAAATAATGAAACGTGAAAACGAGGTAACAGTTCAAATGCGCTCATTAGCAAGGCTTGCACATGCCAATGGAAAACACTTCTTTATGACTTGCTAATCAGGCGTGATTGGGTCACGCGGTTCTTCTCTCCTGTTGTTGTCATAATTTACTAATAATAGGCATGTTGTGGTAGGAATCTGCTGGTTTTAGTTGGGTCATGAGGCCGCTGCTTTGCATAGCGTGGGACGAGAGGATAATGATTCCACATGCATCATGCTTTGGCTGCGTGTAATCGTTTGCCTTGGCGCGTAATCCCTTCTGATGGTGTACGCGGCCAATTGAATTTAGACGGTGGCCTTTCTGCAACCCAATCAAATCATTCAATACCTTGACAGACTGTGGTAATCAAAACCCCTTGTTTCCCTGCCAGCTTACCCGAGCTTCGTTGGGGAACATTATTCGGGGTTTCCGCTCACTTCAGGGAAGAAAACGTTGAACCTTGTTACACCAAATGCATTTTGCTGGCTGTCTTCAGCAGAACCTTAATTTGAACAGTTGTTTTCGTGGACAGCCTATAAATAACGTCACCCAGCAAGCCTGTTGCTTTACTGTCTGTTGCAAACAGAATCAGTTTATGTGTTTTGCTCTCAAATGAGCGCAATTTTTTTTTTACGTTAATGTTTTGGCAGCCAATTCAAAAATGTCATCCATTATGAAGCATGATAATTTGTCGGGGTAAGCTTGTTTCTATAGTACTTTGTAATAGGTGTTAAATATCGAACGCGCGGCTTTCATTGCTGGTTCCATGGTCAGCACACTAAAACTAAAAACATTTCTGCTGGCCACAGAACTGCAATGAAGGCCGCGCGTTCGATATTTAACACCTATTACAAAGTACTACCAGCATTTTTTTCTCTATTTTTTTCTGATAACAAAGAACCGAAGTGACGAATGCTGAAATCGCAGGCATGGTGAAAGTTACAGCTCAGAACTTGAACAGGTGGAAATTCCGCACATCTCCGTCCTCTGTAAATGATGCTACAAATGAGTCGATACAAAGTAAATCGGCAGTGACGAACCCCCACGTCACAGCAATTCACTTCAAATATCATATGCCCCACAGCGTGTTTGGGTTATCTAGCAAACTCTAGCCTTTCGAATGAACTCTCACCTGCTAGCTGAGCAACTTCCATTATGGTTGATTTTGAAAGTGTCGCCTTGCGTTTTGTCCCAGTACATATATTTCTGCAACTATTTATGTTTTCACCGGAGGTAACAACCCGTTGAGAATCACATTCCGCCGCAAACCAAACGCAAACGCGACCACCACTTTTGATGCGCTTGAACTCATAAAGTACACTGTATTTAAATTGTGGTACATGTATTTAGAAATCACGTTACCCCTGCATCCTCAGCGCCCGTTCCCCGCCTTGCCTGGCTGGATTCACACGCTGCCGGCCCCAATGTTGACACACCACGAACAAAAGCATGGCACATCCGCGATGAGAAAAACAATGAAGCACGTGATTTTTACCTCTTACCAGCGCGCGCGCGCACCTGAGGCTTGTCATTACTGCTGTTTTCTCATCAGTCGCTCTATAATATATACGCGTCAGTATAATGGCAGTGATTGCAGTGCTGGAGGATGTAATGAATGATAACGAAAGTGATTCCCCCACTCCACTTAATGGAATTCGGGCAGAAAAAAAATACGTGCAGAACAAATTAGTGTCGTTTTGGAGCCACCATACAGTTGCGTTTCGACCGCGTCTTCTCCCCCCCCCACCATCTCATCTTAAGCTTGGTCGATTCATCATCCCCATACTGTTTTCATATAACCTGACGATTTGTCCCAAACAAGCATGGAGAAAGGTTTCCACTTTCTCAAAACTGTAACCTTTTGCCCCATGAATCGACCTACATGTTTTTTAAGTCACTGAGTATGATGGATGCCAAGCCGAGCTATTCAGATTGCCATCTGATATCCCGGTAGGATTTTTTTGTCAACTTACCAGTGCCTTAAAGAATTGCCGTTAAAATGCCTGTACCCAATATTTTTATTTTCCAATCGTAATGAAATGTCCAATATTCAGGATTTTATATCAGGTCGATTTACTGTCCTAATTGATTCGAATTCTGAGTAAAGATTTCTTTGTTAAATTGTTCATGTCAAATTTAATGACAGAGGATACGCCACTCCCATTAATACGTCACTCACATTTTGTATTTAAGAATGAATGCGCTTGGGGGAGATGTATTTCAACAATGGAAAGAATTATTAGCCTGCATTAATTCCGGGTACTCTAGCTCCTTGGGTTTTTCTGGTAGATTTGTCACACTCGTAATGCATCAGTGCCTGGGAGATATGGGGAAAGAGAAACGTTTAATGTGCAATTGGCTCTTGGATCCAATAGCAAACGTAAACACAACTGCGCATGGGCTTTCACCGCATAGTTGCAAACGGAACGGCAAAAAGGTAGTGAATGAGAATATCATAATGGCAGGCAATTAGCTTGAGAAGTCCAGCTCATCAACAGTGGTGCACCGTATAGCACGACATAGCTAAGGAGGTTGCCGAGTGACTGTGCGCGCAACGGGTTGTAGAATATTGGAGAGCAAAATGGAGACGCTGACAGAAGTAAATCGGGACAACACATTGATGCAAAACCAGGGATGGGGAAAAGGATATGATAAAAAGCTCGTGCTACGGTGATACAAAACTGTATACAAAACTGGACTGTATTCTTACTAATTTTCTATCGTAATCCAATTTTGTAATAACGGTATTTGCAACTGGAAATCCATTAAAGACCTGACTTCAGAGCTTAGAAGACACTGACGGGCGCGGACGCGTTGATTTCTGGATCCTAGGTGTTTCTCCCCGGGGAATTGAAAATACACAACCTCGACGTGGCGAGGCAAGTCACGGTACCCGTGGTCGTGGCTAATCAACCGTGTACCCACCGACCAATTCTGCTCTGC